TGTGACTCCCTGAGGGTGTGTGACTCCCTGAGGGTGTGTGAGTCCCTGAGAGTCTGTGGTTCCCTGAGGGTGTGTGACTCCCTGAGGGTGTGTGAGTTCCTGAAAGTCTGTGACTCCCTGAGGGTGTGTGACTCCCTGAGAGTCTGTGACTCCCTGAGGGTGCGTGACTCCCTGAGAGTCTGTGACTCCCTGAGGGTGCGTGACTCCCTGAGGGTGCATGAGTCCCTGAGAGTCTGTGGCTCCCTGAGGGTGTGTGACTCCCTGAGGATATGTGACTCCCTGAGGGTGTGTGAGTCCCTGAGAGTCTGTGGTTCCCTGCGGGTGTGTGACTCCCTGAGGGTGTGTGAGTTCCTGAGAGTCTGTGACTCCCTGAGGGTGTGTGGCTCCCTGAGGATATGTGACTCCCTGAGGGTGTGTGAGTCCCTGAGAGTCTGTGGTTCCCTGAGGGTGTGTGACTCCCTGAGGGTGTGTGAGTTCCTGAGAGTCTGTGACTCCCTGAGGGTGTGTGACTCCCTGAGGGTGCGTGACTCCCTGAGGGTGCGTGACTCCCTGAGGGTGCATGAGTCCCTGAGAGTCTGTGGCTCCCTGAGAGTGTGTGACTCCCTGAGAGTCTGTGACTCTCTGAGGGTGTGTGACTCCCTGAGAGTCTGTGATTCCCTGAGGCTGTGTGACTCCCTGAGAGTCTGTGATTCCCTGAGGCTGTGTGACTCCCTGAGAGTCTGTGACTCCCTGAGGATATGTGACTCTCTGAGGGTGTGTGACTCCCTGAGAGCGTGAGGGTAGAGGGGTGGTGGGTGCACGGCCTACAGACCTCTGCTGGAAAAGCTCTCTGGACCTCTGTTGCGGGCAGTGCTGGAACAGTACCCACATAAGTCTAGACTAGAACCTGGGAAGTGGGGGGAGCCTTAGGCATGGAATAACAATGCAAACTGCAGGCTCACAGGACAGCCAGGGCCTGCAAGAAGAAGGGAGTATCATTGGCTCCATAAACGCATTTCAAAGAAAGGGAGGGGAGGAGGGGAGACACAGTGTCTTCTGTGGGTTCTCCCTGGTGGAGTGGTGAAATGAGGAGGTGGGAAATGGGAAGGAGCAGTCCACCTGGAGTATCGCTTCCCTTCCTCTTCCTCCCTCTCGCTTACCTTGGTTGCCTCTTCCCTGACCTGTCCTCACCTTTCACACCTGCCTGGGAGGCCCCTGCTGGGGAGCTGGACGGGGTGGGATTCTGAGCCTGCTAGGACAGCTGCAGGGATTACAGACTTCTAATTCAACCATTCAAACCAGAGCCCTTCTCAGCTGCCATCAATGTCAGCTGCCATCAACCCTGAGCTTCTGGCTAGGCGGAAGGAGTTGAGTGCTTTCACATGCCAACAAGGAAATTCTAATTTCCCAAACAGTCACATCACTTGTATTACAAAGGATGTTTTGGCAGGATGAATTCAGTGCAGGTTGAGCTACCTTGCCCAAAGTGTGGCTCGCTACACCTAACCTCCCAGGTCTCTCCTGAGGGAGGTCTCCAGGGGCCAGGCACAGGACTCCGTCCTTGGCCCTGGCTTGTTAAACGTTTTTCTTAATGACTTGGATGAAAAATAGAAAGAATCCAGATGACCCACAGCTGGGACAGTTAGTATGCTACATGACATATTCGAGTTCAGAATGATTTATATAGGATGGGATGCTGGGCCAAAACCAACATCATGAAATTAAACAGGGATGAATGTAGAGCCCTCTGCTTAGCTTTAGGGAAATGTCAGGCACCAGCGCAGGACAGACTGGCTTGGAAATACACATTCATTTGTTCAGTCATTCCGCGTGTATTTATTGGGCCTACCCCAATAAACAGATGCTGTGTGGAAAGATGCTGTGTGGATTCTCGGAGGGAGTCAGATATAAAGATGGTACCTCCAAAAGCTGAAGTTTTCATAAAGTGGTGGGAAGTGATGTGGTGCATCTCCAAGTAAATGCAGGGCACAGGGAGTGCTGAAGTGTTATGGAAGCGACCAGACCACAAGGCTGGGGGACTTTCTCAGAGAAAGGACATCCTCAACTGGTGCAACTGGAGAAGGCTCCATGGGAGAGAGGGACTTCAGAGTGGGCACCCAAAACTAGGAAGTTTTTTTTAAACAGGTGGCAATAGTGAAGGGGCAAAGAAGGAATGGTGGTGAGGAGCTAATGTGGGAGGAGGGCAGTGAAAGATATACATGGGGAACTATGAGTGCCCTAAGTGACCAAAATGGAGGGTCTCTTAAGTGACTTGGCATGTGTGCACACGTACATGCATGCATACTTGCATGTTGGGATGGGAGAGGTAAGGTAGATACTGCCAGAAAGATTGGATGAGATTGGACTGTGCACAGACTAGAAAGACAGCGTTGATGAGGTGGGTGTTCTTCAGTGGGTAATGAAGGTCCTTGAGGAGAAGCGCTCCTGGGATCAAAGGGGCACTGGAGGGCCATTCATCTGGCCCCAGTGTGTAGGATGAAGGCCGAAATACCAGTTGAGAAGCTAAAGCACCAATGAGAGGTGGCCTTGAGACTGGAGAGGCAAAGAAAATGCAGAATAAACTGAGGGAAGGAGCCACAGTGTTTGGTGTTTGGGTGGAGGCTGCCATGGGGGCGGG